GGACACCCACCCCGGGGGCAGAGCCGGAGCCCGCGACCGGCCGCTGTCCGCGCGCCCTCCGGCGGCGCAGGGCGAGGCGGCGTCGGCAAGAGCCGTCCCTGTGTCACTCCTTCCTCGGGGCACTTTCCGTCTCCGCGGGGTAGGAAATCCTCTTCTGGACTCGGGGTTGCGACAGATTCTCTGATAACGTTCTGCCGTCCAAGACCTGCAACTCCTCGCCGCCGGGCCCTGCGCTCGCCCCAGGATGACGCGCGCGCCCGCCCACCTGCCGCCTAGGTTTCTGCCAGTCTCCGAGCCCGCTGGCCAAGTGCCCCCTGGCCTGGCCGCTGTGCCGGGAGACGGAAGCATTTCCATAGGGCCCCGGGCTTTCCGAGCCTTGAGTAGGCACAGCTGGAGGTGAGGGATGGTCTGCACCTGGTCACCGTCCTCTCTGGGCAGGGGTGCTGGTGGCCTGGCCACAGGTTTTCATTGGTGACCTCAGGACGGAAACAGCTGTGCTGTGGGTCTCTTGGGTTACGTCTTGCTGGGCTGACATTAAAGGCCAAAGGTCGTCTGAGGACCACTGGGATGTGCAGAGGCACAGGTTGACGGTTAGGTTAGCGCTGTGCGGGGGAGGCACGGGCCTGGTGGCCTGTGTGACTGTGATTGTGATGCTGGTGTTGTGGTCTCTCCTCAGCTGCTTATTCCTAGGAGGGAATCTGTCTGCCTTTCCAGGGCAGGTAGAAGCACTCAAAGGTGGTTTCCTTATTTTGTTGTATGTTTGCTCCGGAGTCAGCAGGGACTTCCAGGCAATTGCAGAAAAAACTATCCTGTGATTTGGGAGACATAGCTGTTTCCTCTTGAGGGTGAGGGCTCTGTCTTCACTTTCTATCCCCAGCCATAGTGTAGGCACCTGTAATCATTTGCTTAATGGTCTTGAAGACAAGTGTGTTGGGAGAAACAAACCTAGGTAAGAAGAGATCAAGAAATCTCACACAGGTTTTACAGTTACCCTTCCCAGCCAGTGATATGACCCCACATATGCTTCTTTTTCTTCTGAAGGTTGGTCTTCATTTAATCTTCTCAGCTCTCAGATACAGCCTTTACGTGAAGCGCTTATTGCGTAGTGCTCTGTTTAGAAGCTCGTCTCTCCCTAGGAACAAGGCTGCAGCCACATCACGTTCGTCTTTGCCCGCCCCCCTTGCCTGGCATGAAGTGGGCCCAGGGTTCTCTCTGAATGGTTGTTAAAATGAACGGAGATGCTAAAACTAGTGCGGTGGTTTTCATCTGGGTTAAGGGTGACCTTTGGGGAATGTAGAAGTAATCTAGTAATCTAGGCAGGCTTTTCATAACAATAATACAATTCACCCCCTGGATCTGCAAGTTCACCTGCAGGTGGGCCTCGCTAGTTCTCGCTGACCACACCTGGCAGGACGTCCAGCAAGCCAAATGACCTTGGGCACGCAGCGTTGCTCCTAATTTTCATTACAGTCTGAGCCAACCTCAGAAGACATGTTTAAATGTTTGCTTTTGGATGGTTTGTGGTTTAGAGTACATAAGGACAATGAAGCAGGTTATAAAAAAGCACTTAACATTTACCCTGTTCAATGTTTTACCTGTTCGAGCATACCTTTTCTGTTATGACAACTCTGTACATGGAAGAAAGAAGCCCTTTTCAACTGGAAGCAGCAATTTCAGTGGCTGTTTCCAGTGTCACTTTGCAAATGGAGATAATATCAAAGAAACAAAACGTCAGGCTTGGGGCTGGCCCGGTGGCGCAGCGGTTAAGTGCGCGCACTCTGCTGTGGCGGCCCCGGGTTCACAGGTTCGGATCCCGGGTGCACACTGATGCACCGCTTGCTAAGCCGTGCTGTGGCGGCGTCCCATATAAAGTAGAGGAGGATGGGCACGGATGTTAGCCCAGGGCCAGTCTTCCTCAAGGAAAAAAGGGGAGGATTGGCATCGGATGTTAGCTCAGGGCTAGTCCTTCTCACAAAAAAAAAAAAGGCTTTTTACTAAGAATCAACTTGAATTCATTACTCGATGATTTTCGTTATTCTTTCAACACAAGCTTATCGAAATCATATTTCACATGAGGAGGGCTTGTGCCCTGTGGTCTGTGGCTACAAAGTTGAGTGAGTCTCTGCCCTTAAGGAGCTTCCAGTGCAGTGAGGAGGCAGGCCAGCGAACTGTGGCCCTGTGGTAGGCACTCCCATGGAGGCAGACAGAGCTTGGTATGGGCACAGAGGAGTGGCATCCAGCTGGCTTTTAGTGGAGGCTCCTGAGAAGGGCTTGAGCTCAGGTTTGAAGAACGGATAGGAGTGGCAAGACCGTGTGAGGCAAAGAGCCTTCCCGGTAAAGAGACAGTGTGTGTGAAGTAACAAGGGCTTGGCTACCACGCACCGGCTGTTGGGAGAAGGGCAGTGGGGTGAAGAGAGGGAGATGAAGGTAAGGAGCTAGGCTGGTGGCAGATCAGGAGAGGTCTTGCGTACCAGGTTTGAGTTTGGATTTTAACCTGAGAGCAGTGGGAAGCCACCAAGAGATCTTGGGTTTGTGAGTGACTGATCAGATTGTCTTCTCCACCGGTGAGCAGGCGTTGGTGACCAGGATGGGTTGGTGAAGGGCTGCACTGAGTCGGGGCTGGTTAAGGGACCACTGCAGCACACCTAACAAGATGTAAGGCCAGGCACTGAGGAAGGGTGGCAGGGAGCAGAAAGCAGAGCAAGACCATGAGACAAGTGGCTGCAGAGATGGGAAGGGCCCTGGAGAAAGGAGGACTTAGGGAACACTCCAAGATTGAGTGAGTGGCAGCACCATGCCACACGGAGTGTGCCGGAAGGGAGTAGGCTTGGGGGTGAGTGATGACTTTGAGTTTGCTGAGCTGAGGATCAGTAAGACTTCGCGGAGGTAGGTGGATATATATTGGTCTGGAGCCAAGGAGAGCGTCCTGGACTCTCCTTCCTGTGTGACACTGAAGCGAGGGCGTAGGGTGGGCCTTCCCAGGAGAGTGTGTAGAGTCAGAAAAACAAGACTGAGCCCTGGAGGTGCCTAATGTCTTATGTCCATAAAACCCAAAGTAAATCGGTGACTGAAGTGTGACTTATAAGTCGTGCTTCTGTGGGGCATGGGGGCAGCATAGTGGGCTTTTTATTTCTGTCACAGAGCCTCAGTTTGTTGTTTAGAGTAAACAGCAAGATGTAAGACACTAAAGGTGCAAAAATCACATGACAGATTCTAGGGGCCTTCCTGTCTCACGTGTTTATTTGCCTTTTGGGAAACTTCCAGATTGTCACTGGTCTCAAAGGACTCCATTTCCCTCCGGACTGAGGGTTGGTCCTCTTAGAGCGTTCTCACAACTAGGTCTCTGAAAAAAGGCCTTCTCAGACCCAGAGATAGACCCAAGGTTGCAGAATTCTCAGTGTCCCCTCACTCTTCTTCCAGGACCCGAGTTTCTCGTGGTACGTCAGCATTAGCAGCAGGCCGGACTTGGGAAAGGCTGTTGAGGACACAGAGGCCAAGTGTGTGGTGCCCACTCTCCCATATTTCTCCTACACTCAAGGGCCTGGAGGCAGAGGGTGAGCAAAGGCTGACACTGCAGAAGGAGCCCCTATCTGCCCACAGGTGGCACATGGCCCGGCAGGGCTGGCCCAGCCTCTAGATAAGTGTGCACCATGGGCT